GAATCCTCGTGGCTCCCGTGGGGCCGGCCAGCTCCCTCTCCGGCGCGGGGGAGGCCGTTTGCAGACTTCAGCCTTTCGCTTCCCCTCCCGGAGCTCGTGGCCACCACCACGGCCAACCTAACCTGCAGGGAAGGGAAGGAGCTGTCCGAAACGACCTTCTCCCACCTCCCCGGCAGGCCCCGGCCTGGGGACGCTCTCACCAACCGAGCACCAGGAACGGAGGGTCTCCAGCTCCTCCGCGCAAAGGCCCCGTCAGGCTTCTCCATCGGCTCTCTCCTCGGAGCGGGACGGAAGAGGCGGCGGAGAGCCAGGGCACGGGGAGGCGGCAGCAGGTACCGAGGGCCAAAGGGTGGCAGAAGGCCCGCCGCCCACCGGGCACCCCTTCCTTCGCCTCCCCACCGCAGTCTCAGTCCTTCTCCTGGCCTAAGCTCTCCTCCGTGATGCCCTGGGCCGCGAGCTCAGCCAGCACGTTGTCCAGGTAGTTGACGTCGGGGTAGCCGTGGCCGGTGAGGTTGGAGCCAAACTCCGTCTTGTGGTGGATCTCGTTCCAGATCACGGTGTCCGACTCGCCCGTGGTGCTGGAGGTCCCGATGGCGAAGATCAAGCGCCGGTCCCAGGCTACCAACAGCAACTTCAGTACCTGCCAGGCGGGAGCATTACTTATGTAGGAGCCGATTTGTTCGAAGGCAAGCTTCATCGTCATGTTGAACCCCACCTCACCCCAGGCCGCGCATATGAGCCACCGGCAGCTCCAACTCCAACATCCCAGGCCGGGTGGAGGAGGCAGGGGAAGGGCCAGGAGGAAACGCTGGGCAGGGGATGGAGACAGGGAAGAAAAGGAAGCGGGGCAGTCTCTCGGATACCAGCGCGGGGTCCTACAGAGGATGGTTCGCCCAAACCAGAAAGACGGGGGCGGGCTGCAGAGCTCCCCGCAGCGCACGATGACGTCTCAGCCCTCCCGCACGTCCCGCAGAGCGTACCGGATGGGCGAGAGGCAAAAACCTCCATCCGCGCTTGCCTGCCTAAGTCCAGTTTGCTTTTCCCCTTTCTCCAGCTCAACCGCTCTCTCCGCCGAGCTCCCTTCCCCTCCCCTCCAGTACGCCCTCGGAGGGGCCTCGGACAGCTCGAGCCACCCACGGGAGCCCCTCTCACCTTCCTGCCCTTCTCGCTGTCCGGCAGGTAACAGTGCCGTGGGAAGCCGCGGGCGGTGAAGCTTTTCCCAGGGTTCGGATGCTCCGGTCCCTGGAGCGTGCGTGGCGGGAGAGAAATTAAAACCTTTGGAGTTCAGAAACTCTTTGGGTGCAAGGCAACCCCCAAACCTTCGGGGACGCAGAGCTGCACGCGGCTGCCCTTCATCCCGGGGCAGCTACGCTCCAGGATGGTGGCCCTCAATGCCGCCGTCCTCATTGCCACCCAGCGGATGGGGCCGACGCCGTCCCATAGATTTACCCCAACCCTCCCACCGCCTCCCCGTGGACGCGCAGCTCCCAAGACACCGCTGAAGCCCGATCTCCGAGCTCAGGCTTGGGTTGTATCACTCCCAGAAAGAGCCCCCGAGGCGACGGAGCGAGGACAAGGCCTGCCAGCCCCGACGGCGACCGCTCACCACCTATCCACCCGGTCCGGGCACAGGGCCGGGGCGCACCTGCACCCCCGGGGGGATATTGTAGATGATGCGGATGGTTTTGCAGTCAGAGTGGCCGGGCAGCGCGTGAGGGATAATGTGATACTCCATTTTCCCAGGGGGCTGAGTCCCGGTCTTCACCCCGTAGATGGTTTTGCAGGTCGGGCACTGCAGGCTCCCATCCTGACAACAAAAAAAATAAAAAGGGGAAGAAAACACAAAATGAGTAATTCCCAGCATCACCCCTAGTGCTGAGCCAGACTGCCTACTCTGAGCACTTTGTCCCTCAACAGAGTTGAACGCTATTCCCATCGTAAAACCACGTTCATTTCAAAACCATGCAGGAAGTAGAGAGTAGGGCTGGGAAAAACGTGCTGCTGTGAACCCGCTTTAACCAAGCACCTGAGCTTTGAATTTTCTTCCTCATCAGCTTGACAGTCCTCACTACTTTTCTTGCCTCTGGTTTTTTATTTTCCTTTTTCCTTTTTTTCTTTCCCCCTTTTTTTTTTGGGAAATAGAGAAAATCATTTTTGCAAACAATAAAAAACCCCAAAGAACACAAAACCCCGTTTCCCTGGGAGTGTCAAACAAGACGTCAGTTTGCAGAGGGTTCAAAAAGCCCCTTGCGGCTGGCAAAGCGCTGCCTGACACGGGCTGTTGCGTATCTCTGCTCGCACACGCCGATCTCAGAGTTCGCTCCCGCTAACCTTGGGAAGGGCAGAAGCGAAGTCAAGGACGTAAAACTACCTAAGCACAGCTAAAAAAGATAAATGAATAAAATAAAAAAGCCCGTGCAAGCCGGGTTTTTGATTCAGTGCTTCCAGCATAAGCGCTAGCTTCTGATAAAAGTGTAACTTTCCAAAAAGCCAAGGAGAGGATGACTCAAAAAGCAAACTGGTTTTCGACCCAGGAAACTTCGGTCCCGTCACACACCTTGTTGCCGTTGTTGTACATAGCGACGAGGCAGTGGAGGTGGAAGATGTGCCCGCACTTGGCCAGCTTCCCCACCAGGTCGGGCTTGACGGCCGGCTGGGGCCCCTTGTAGCCGGAGGGCGCCGAGAGGCGCTCCATGCAGATGG